CTAACACGGGCAGTTTGTATGCTACCTTTCAGCTAAAACTCAGAATCAGAATTATTGGCAAAGTGTGTAGAACACACAAGGAATTTGTCTCTGGTATTATAGGGTACACTAGTATTGCAATAACAACTAACTACGATAAACAAAGACATGACATATAAGCGTCGAAAGATGTAAGAGGACCATAGTGTGGTAGTACCACCCAATGACAGCTGTGCGACAATGTGCAGAGCCATAATAATAATAATAATCATTGGGGCATCTTTTAAAGTGACCAGTAGCAGTCATTGTAGTACAACTTTTGGTGTGCAATTATACAGAAAGCCCTTGAGCACTTCAAAGTGTCTGGTGCTATGGAATATTGATCAACAACAATTGTCTAAGTCTGTAGAGAGCTGAAGCTATAATGGTCAGTGCGGGAATACTATTGCATGGGGCGTGTGCAAAAATTCAAATAGCCACTATAGATTTGAGTCACTGTTTAGGGAGTTAAAGGCAAGAAGCTGAATGTCTGCTGGTTTTGGTGCGCATGGTTCAATCGTGCTTACCTGAAGGGAGCAGCTGGAAGAGGTGGTGGTCAGGGTGTTGGGGGTCCAGTTGGATTTTCCGCGCCCTTGTCTTGGTTCTTGCGGTGTGCGAGACCTCCAGAGCGGGTACGGCGGTGCCAATGATATTTTCCACCATCCTAACTGTCCGTTGCAGTCGGATTTTGTCATTTTTTGTGGTGGCCCCAAACCAGACGATGAACACAGGACTGATTCGATGACTGCTGTGCAGAACTGTCTGAGCAGTTCCTGTGGTGGGCCATGCTTCCTCAGCAGCCTCAGTAAGTACATCCTCTGCTGGGCCTTTTTCAGGATGGAGTTCATGTTGGCCGCCGCCAACTTCATGTCCCGAGAGACTGATTCCCAGTAACTTGAAGGTCTTGACATTTGACACAAGGCAAATGGATAGTGTAAGGGGCAGTTGTGGCGAAGGAGGTTTCCTGAAGTCCACGATCATCTCTTCAGTCTTGAGCGTGTTCAGCTCCAGGTTGTGATGGCTGCACCAGAGCGCCAGCTGCTCCACTTCTTGTCGGTACTCAGACTTGTCGCCGTCTTTGATGAGGCCGATGACTGTGGTGTCGTCGCCGCACGTGATGAGTTATGAGCATAGATTTTGCAATCTTGTTTCTATAATTAGACTAATACTAAAATTAAATTAGTCGTCAAGTAAAAGTAAATAAGTGATTGAGGAAACTTTGCATCGTCTTTTTAATTATTGCATAATGATGCAAAAATGAACTCATTAAGGTTTTTATATGAAGGGTCGGTGCAATGGAAGAAACCATTTTTTACTTTGCCTTTGTGATGGTGTGAGCTCTCTGAGTGATTCTTTTCGAACAACACTGTAGCATTAGCATGCGTCGCACACGGTTGATTCTGCAGCCGAATCCGCTCCCGCTGCCAACTCCTCTCAATTAGCTCCTTCTCCCGCTCCATGACGAGCGCCCTTTTCACACTTTTCCGGCCTACACATGCACGTCCTTGTTTCTGTCGAGCCATCCCGTCCATCTTAACAAGAACTTTTCGGGCTCAATGTGTGTCTGAAAACAAAAGGGACACTGAGCTGCCTTCTTCTTCATTTTAAAAGCTCATTTGCATGACACTCTTCAACACTCTCCGATTCCGCTTTGCTCTGCCAGTGGAGCAAGTGCCACGGTGTAATCCGGTGCCCTTCAAATATCCTTTATGGATTATCCGCTGTGTGTAGAGATCATTCTAGAACGTATTCTGTTAGAATGTAATGCTAATTTATTTATTTATGTCTTTTTGTTGCTTTTTTACAAAATGCATAACAAAACAAGAACAGGCCTTTGGGCTCAAACTTCCACTAAGGCCACACCGCTGTATGGTGTTCCACAGGGTTCAATTTTGAGGCCCCTGCTGTTTTCATTGTATTTGCTACCCCTGGGTCACATCTTAAGAAAGCATGGTATTTCCCTTACCTATTATATGGATGACGGTCATATCCACATTCAGCGAAGAAAAAAAGGATGCATTCTACTGAAGGAACTTTTGTTCTCCCGAAAGGAAATCAAACCCTCGGTGGAATTTGTATGAAGCTATGGCTGTTTTTGAAGTGCACTATAAATCAAGTGGAATTAAGTTGGAAGCGTTCCTGCCACAAAGGTACATTTGCGTGCAGATTCATATCCGCCGATTACACAATATTTCACAATCTCCCCAACCTACGATTTTTTTTTCAACTCTCATATCATTTACCGCATTGGCAGCCACTAAAGCAAATAATCATGCAAAGTGAAGCAATGAGGTAACGCGCTGCGGTGTCCCAAAGCGCCCACAACACACGTCCCCAATTAGAGAGGGTTTCCTACTTGATGAATAATGAACTATTTCAAATGCAGGGGGGTACGGGTGCTCACTGAAACGGTCATGAAATGCAATTTGGCCGCTCCTCTCATGTCGAATGTGTGAAGGAAGCTCCTGAGAGAGGTCATGGACTCGTTTTGCATGCACGCCACAATGAAGACACACGACCGCAGCGCATTACCAGCATGTCCAAGTCAGCACACGGCTTGATTTATTTATCGTTCATTTTGAATGATTTATACCTCTCAACAAAACTGCCAGCTGGTGTATTAAGCCTTATTGGAATGCCGAGGAACAGACATTTGACATGACGTTTGGCTCAATGCGCGTACACACACACACACACACACACACACACACACACACACACACACACACACACACACACACACACACACAGTGATGACCAGATTTTAACTTGTGTGCTTTTCCTTGAAGGGGAGAGGATTTATGGAAATAATAGGCTTGGTTATGTGCGGGGCCACTCGACAGAGCAGGAACATTCTTGTAGCAACATGCTTTTAGCCGTAAAATGAAAAATGTGGATTCCTGACTTCGGGTCCAAGGACATGTTGTCCTGTATTGTTTTGCTGCAAAAATGTTTCAAAGTGTGTCGCTCACATTTCACTGATAAGGGGTGCTTGTTGTTGCTGTTTAGTGAAATACATGTTTCTAAAACCCACTTTGTTGGGAAGAAAAAATACTGGTGAAATGAAAAGGCGGCACAGTGGACGACGATGATGAGCGGATCAACCTCACAGTGCAGAGGTACCGGGTTCGATCCCAGCTCCGGCCTACCTGTGTGGAGTTTGCATGTTCTCCCAGTGCCTATGTGGCTTTTCTCCGGATAGTCCGGTTTCCTCCCACATTGCAAAAAAACATGCAGGGCAGGCTAATGAAACACTCTAAATTGTCCCTAGATGTAATTGTGAGCACGGATGGTTGTTCGTCTCTGTGTGCCCTGCGATTGGCTGGCAACCGGTTCAGGGTGTCCCCCGCCCTCCTGGATAGGCTCCAGCACCCCCCGTGACCCTTGTAAGGATAAGCGGATCGGAAAATGGATGGATGGATTGTTGTCACTCATAATTTTTTTTTTCATGACAAGGCTGTGTGTATATATATATATATATATATATATATATATATATATATAGATATAGATATAGATATATATGGGGGGTATTTCTTTTCACCCCAAATTGTATTTATTTTATTTATTTTTTTGTATCTTAGAATCAGACTGTTTATTTTTACTGTCCTTTGTAGAACGAGTGTGTTCAGATTTAATTTTGGTTTTGTTTTGATCCAAAACACAAAACTCCTCTTGGTAATAATTAAAAATTACAATCCTCTTCCTCCTCATCATGATCATCACAAGAACAATAAAGAGCAACACGTCCGACAGAATGTGTTTTCACTGAATGACAATACGCACGATTGATTGCCCATTGAATTGTGAACAATGTGACTTGGTTATTTCATTGTTTGCTACTGGAGCCTCCTTCTGAGAACACACACACACATTTTGGGGGAAGTGACGTTTAACCCTTTGAGGGACAGGGGTTACGACAGTGGACAGCTTATCGTGTTATAAGGTTACTGGGTGCATGAAAGGGTTGAAGTTCAATAATCAGTGAAAACAGTGAAAAGTGAAATCAGTTGACGTGGGACATTTTAACATTCTTATCCTAAAAATCACATCTGACGTGCTCTGCGACATTTGTTTTTGTCTTACGCGAAGTTCAAGTCAAAGTGTTTCAACGCCATTTGGTCCACTCTGCAAATGGCTAAATGCGAATCTAAACGTCATATTAAGCGAGTGTGTGTGGAGGCAACGGGGAAAGGTCCGCGACGACGTCAAACAAACGTGACTTGGCGAGCACTTTTCAAAAGGGGGACTTTTATTTCGCACGACTGAAGAGAAAGTATCAGTGCAGCACTCGACAACAACATCCAGCTTTCCAGGAACATTTCCGCCGCTCCAACATCCAACAAGACGTCGCTGCGCGCCAGCAACGGTGCGTGAACAAAACACACGATGCAACACTTTAAATAGAGCCAAAGCTGTTGGGAACGTCGGACATGTTTTTAGGCGATGCTCTTTTTAACAAGAGAAGATGAGGTGTTGAAGGGTCAAATGGGGGTGTGATCTTAAGAGACATACAGCTTCAGTCAAAAAGCTCCTAAAGTACTTTCTTTACACTTAGTACAAAAAAAAAAGAGACATCTCTACCCGTTAGTGCTTTGTTTTTTGTTTTTTGTTTTTTTTTAAAGATACTATTACATAAATAAACAATTTATTTTTCAGTGTTCAGTACAGACAGTTCCAGTGTGACTGGAAGACTAACATTAACTCCACCTTATTCCAGTTGGTAGCAGAGGCTTCCACAGAGTTCTCTGCTCATATATATA